GATGGGATGGGATGGGATGGGATGGGATGGGATGGGATGGGATGGGATGGGATGGGATGGGATGGGATGGGATGGGATGGGATGGGATGGGGGAGCCTCCCCCCTTTTCCCTCACAGAATAAACTGGTGACCAACCCAGCCCAATATCCCAACATCCCAAAAGGACCCCGAGGCCATCCCACCTTCGAATCCAGCTTCTGTTTCATGTAGGCACCGTTTGCAGCTGTTAAGGCATCATTAATGAGGATAAAAATGTATCCTTCCAGATCAAATGCCAAGTCAGCACTGGGGAAGGGAAAAACCAGGAGTTAACTACTGGAAGGTTTTTTCCAGCTTCCCTGGAGCCAGCAGGAAAAGTTAATGATGGGAGGAGGGGTTGGGATTTGGGTCAGGAAAACATTCTTTCCTATTAGAGAGCACGTCTGGAGAGGGGGATGTTCAATCCCTCTGTGCTTGGGACTGGATCCCATCAGCACAGACCCTCCAAAATCTGGGAATGGGGACAGCTCACCTGGCAGCCACAAATGCACCAAAAATCATGGCAAATACTGTCATCTGAATGCTCCAGGAAAACTTCTTCCTGGAAAAGAGAGGCAGCAGGACACGGCTTCAGCCACAGCTCAGTCCTTGGGAACAGTGAGGGCTCTGGAGCAGAGCAGGGAGAAGCCTTCAGGGGAAAAAAAACCCAAACCAACCCCAAACAAACCAACCTGTGCAGGAGCTTCGAGTAGAGACATTTTTGGGCAATTATCTCAGTGATTTATTTTAAAGATAAAGAACTCAGCCTGGAGGAGCTGGGAGTTTACAGAGAGCTGAGCTCTGCCCGGGGCAGGGAAGGGGCTCAGCTGGGCACGGAGCAGCTCCCAAGTCCTGGGAAGGGGCTGTGGGCACCCTGTGAGTGGTTTGGGGTCCCTGCAGGGTGGCACAGCCAGGAGGAGCAAATCATCCCTGAGTCCTGGCTCCCAGTGTCCTGGCTGGCTCCTCCAGGCACTTGGAGCTGCTGTGGGATAGGGATTGGGATGAGCTGCAAACTGGATCCT